TTGTTTATAGCATGAACTATATTTTTTGTACAAAACTAACAAAACATTGTGTATATTTAAAAAAAAAACAAGGGTGTACGCGGTTATAAAGAAAGTGAGTGTATATTTAGTAAACGAAAAGTTGAGCGTGCAACAAGTCGTTAAGAAACGTGACTATGTATTATTTTTGAGAGCATAATGAACCATATTTTTGCTATTACCAATCAAAATTCTAAAAACTTGTTTAGTTCAAATTATTGGTTTTGACAAAAAAAATATAGAAGGGATTATAACCCTTACTAAATAGAAATACTACATAGTTAACGAAATTATCCGTATGACCACTTTCGTTAGAAAACCGAAGCGGAAGTATTTTTGCGCAGAAGTTCTTTTTGTACATCATTTTAGGCTTCGTTTTCTGTATAAACTTCCGTAGTCTACTGATAATTTTACTAAGATTTTCTTATATATTTCAAAAGTATTAGAAATTGCCCTAACCCCACGTAGACACTCATTCAGTAGGAAACTCACTCTTTCTATTCGTTGATAAGTATAGCGCAATTGGCGCGTGTTTAGTTAGTTTTCAATGTACATTTCACATTTATATATGATTGTATGTGTGGACTATCTGACATTATCAGCTGTATATGGTCAAGAAAGCGAATATGTTGAATTCACAGAAAGACAAGCTATGGATGCGAAAAGAAAAGCAAATTTAAGGCTCCTGCTATCCAAACAAATTGTAAAGAAAGAAGCACATTTAAATTTCTCAATAATATTTAAGTAAGTAAGCACTGAGCTTTCATGAAGTTTTACGCTTTTATTTGTTAACTTTGGTTTAATTACTCGAATGCTGAAGCTCAACATAAATAATTAATAAGTCGACTTGGGATCTTCCAAATTAGAGAAAATACTTAAAGGAAATACAAAGAACTGGCGTCAAGTAAGAAAAGTAGACACAAAAAATTGGAAAAACTGCTAAGGCTACGCAAATAACGGTGATGGAGTGAGCAGAGCTGGCTAGTATTAACACGCAATTAAATAATTTGAAAGTTTTTCTACTTTTTTACCTTTACCCTTTTTCAATTCTGGCTGCTTCTACAACACCTTTGTGCATTGCTCGCTCATCCTTGAACATAAGTGTAGTCCAAAAATGCATGTGAAAAAATAAAATCGCAATTTTTATGCGTTGTTTTATACCAAAAAAAATATATATAGGTCGCTCAAAGCGCTCAAAGTTTTCCATGTATTTTAGATGGGGCAAAACAACTTTTCGTAGAGATGGAATACAATTCTTGAAAATCAATATTTTTCAATCGAAAAACTCTGTTTCTCTTCAGGAAATACTCAATAATAATACTTAACTATTTATTTGACCATTTTTTCATAGTAATTTTATAGATCCGCCAAAAATCCCCAAAAATGCCAGAAAATGCAATGGTGGGATAATAAAAAATGGTTAAATAAAGAATTGGATATTGTTATTGGCTTATGAGAGTCAGAGTTTT